TCTTAGACGGGAAAACCACTTCTAACCAACAAGTAGTTGCCGATGTTGTCAGAGAGTATTATTCAACAGTCTACGCTGTGGTTTCCCAAAATGGAATCCGATTCTCCCGCGGATAAACTTCAAATACCCACCCCTGACAGTTGATTTCTCTATGCTCGACGTTCAAGATCTCTTCTCTAAGATTAATCATTACAGTGCAATGAAAGAAGACGTGATCCATCCTCGCATCTTCAAAGAAGCGGCCCTCAGTTTGGCAGTGATCCTCAACAATCTATTCAAACAGACAGTTCGAACCGGCACTTTTCCACAAGTATGAAAACAGGCCGCTGTCGTACTTATATTTAAAGCGGGCGATCGACACTCTCCTGCTAATTATCGGCCGATCAGCATCACCAACATCACATGCAAGATGATGCAGCGTCTGTTAAAACGCGCCATCCTTGAGCATTTCTTCTCAAATAGTCTTTTCTCCTCTACTCAGCATGGCTTCTTTTCGACCGTCATGCATAACCAAAATTTTAGTCTTCATGGATAGACTGACATAGGCCAAAGACAATGACCATATCTTCAAAGCTATCTTCTTCGATTTTTTCAAAGCCTTCATCCGTGTCACACACGGCTCTTTCGTACATAGGTTATTAGCTTATGGAATCTAAGGAGAGGTTCCCCGTTGGACTACATCCTTTCTTGATGCCAAAACTTTTAGAATAAAAACCGAATAAGACCTTTCTTCCTCCTCTCCAATCTCCGCTGGAGTTTCTCAAAGATCTGTAGTTGGTTCACTGTTGTTTGCCAAATACATATATCAACGACCTTCGGGACCTTATTTCTAGCAACGCTCTCCTTTACGCTGACGACTCGAAAGTCTAGATTGCTTGTGACACCAATACATTACAGACTGGCCATGACCGTATAAGTGTTGGCCAGATGACTAGAGTCTCCGTCCAAACGACAGTAAATGTGCATGTCACTCGGATGAGACTCCGGGAACCTATTCCTGATACACAGTGCAGGGAGTGTACTAGATATCGCGAAAGTTGATCTGAAGAAAGAATTAGGGATTTTCCTGCCGTATGGGTCTGTATAAGACCTCTGCTCGAGTTTGGTAACCGAGTCGTATACACCAGATCGAAGACAGGCATACCCGCCATTAAACATGTCTAGCGAGTATCCACCCAAATGGTCATTGATTTGCAGCACTGTTCTTACCAGTCCCGTTTCGAAATTCTTGATCTTTATCCATTTGAGTTTCAAAGACTTTGCGAAGCCTTTATCTTCACACACGAAGTTTTTTTGGCGCAGGACTTGTGTAGCAACTCTTTACCTCAGTAGCTGATAACAGTCGAAGGGGTAACAATAAGAATCTTTACGAACTTCGACTTCGGACTTTCCTTATTCAACAGTTTCTTTCTTACAGGGTTATTAACCACTGGAGCAACCTTTCATTAGAGTTTGTTAGCTGCTGTTTTAGGGACTTTTTCAAGGTGTTATTAAATTCCCATCTAGCTAGGAAATTGTTGGATTAGTATTTTACTCTGTTCATGGTACTTTCTGTAACCCCGAAAGGCGGTGCTATTCTCTGTTCTTAATAACTGTCTTTCACATCAACCAGATACCGCTGGATATCTTGGCCAACAGTGACTGGATGCGGGTGACTTGGGCCTCCGGTCTCGAATCTAGCTACAAATCGCCGAAATGGTGTTCGAAGAGGTGACCCTTGGAGAAAGCCGCTTGTTTTTATACTAAAGTTCGATCGCGCGCCTTATACCCTGGCACAGAACCTCCTAGTAAGTAATTAAGACTTTAATCTACGTGGATTTCGTACGGA